TCATAAATCCAGGTCCCAGCAGCTCAGTGAGGACTGGCTCCATAACCATCAGATGGCTTTATTGGCCCGAAGCGTGAAGCAGCAGACCGTCAGGGGCCTTGTTATTGGCCTGATTTATCCACAATCCCCCAGAGTGTCATCTTCATCAACCAGCCGGCCTGCTACACGGTTTGAGTTGCAGAAAAGGGTTTGTGTCTTTATGGGGCCGAAAGTAGACCCCCACCCCCCCAACAGCAGTTTTCTAGCATGTCTCCACCTGTCACACACAGTAATGATGCTCCAAAGACCATCTAGTCCTTTAACGTCTCTTCCTATCTGATTTATTATTTTTTTATGGTCCTCTTTTTTGCCTCTCACCTCCAACATCAGTCACATTGTAATTAATCATTTATGGTTTCAGTAAACAGAGCTGTTGATCTGGCATCAGCCTGGGTGCCATGTGGATGTCAGACAGCCAGCATCTTAACAGAGTCTGCACTGATGCTGCATGTTGTTCACTTTTTGTTGTGCTTTGGCTTGAAACTGTGAGTATTTGTGTTTTATTGTGTTTCCCAACACCCTCAACTCGGAACATAAAAACTGTAGCAGCAGAAAGAAAACCGACAATAGTCAGATTTATATGGGGGAGTGTTGCAAACATAAAAAGATGCTTTATGGTTGGACAATAATTCAATAACAATATATATTTATATCTATCCATAGACGTGTAGTTAAAAAGAAGAAAAGGTGAGCCGACATAAACTTTGAAAAAAAGTTTCCTTTTTTCATTTTATCAGGTAGCTTAATACCAGAGTCATCACTTACTCCCAACCAATCAAAAACACTGACCAAGGCATGCTCCATCACCAAGGCCTCCCCTCTCAAAACTAAACAGACAGCACATGACTTACAGGTGCTGGCCAGTAAATTAGAATATCATCAAAAGGTTGAAAATATTTCAGTAATTCCATTCAAAACGTGAAACTTGTACATTATATTCATGCAATGCACACAGACCAATGTATTTCCAATGTTCATTACATTTAAATTTGATATTTATAGGTGACAACCAATGAAAACATCAAATCTGGTATCTCAGAAAATTAGAATATTCTAAAGGCCAATGAAAAAATGTTTGTTTCTCTAATGTTGGCCAACTGAAAAGAATGAACATGAAAAGAATGTGCATGTATAGCACTCAATACTTAGTCGGGGCTCCTTTTGCCTCAATAACTGCAGTAATGCGGCGTGGCATGGACTCGATCAGTCTGTGGCACTGCTCAGGTGTTATGAGAGCCCAGGTTGCTCTGATAGTCGTCTTCAGCTCCTCTGCATTGTTGGGTCTAGCGTATTGCATCCTCCGCTTCACAATACCCCATAGATTTTCTATGGGGTTAAGGTCAGGCGAGTTTGCTGGCCAATCAAGGACAGGGATACCATGGTCCTTGAACCAGGTGCTGGTGGTTTTGGCACTGTGTGCAGGTGCCAAGTCCTGTTGAAAGGTGAAGTCTGCATCCCCATAAAGTTGGTCAGCAGCAGGAAGCATGAAGTGCTCTAAAACTTCCTGGTAGACGGCTGCATTGACCCTGGACCTCAGGAAACAGAGTGGGCCAACACCGGCAGATGACATGGCACCCCACACCATCACTGACGGTGGAAACTTTACACTGGACCTCATGCAACGTGGATTCTGTGCTTCTCCGCTCTTCCTCCAGACTCTGGGTCCTTGATTTCCAAAGGAAATGCAGAACTTGCTTTCATCAGAAAACATAACTTTGGACCACTCAGCATCAGTCCAGTCCTTTTTGTCCTTGGCCCAGGCGAGACGCTTCTTGCGCTGTTTCTTGTTCAAGAGTGGCTTGACACACGGAATGCGACACCTGAATCCCATGTCTTTCATGAGTCTCCTCGTGGTGGTTCTTGAAGCGCTGACTCCAGCTGCAGTCCACTCTTTGTGGATCTCCCCCACATTTTTGAATGGGTTTGTCGTCACAATTCTCTGCAGGGTGCGGTTATCCCTAGAGCTTGTACACTTTTTTCTACCACATTTTTTCCGTCCCTTCGCCTGTCTGTTAATGTGCTTGGACACAGAGCTCTGCGAACAGCCAGCTTCTTTAGCAATCACCTTTTGTGTCTTGCCCTCCTTGTGCAAGGTGTCAATGATTGTCTTTTGGACAGCTGTTAAGTCAGAAGTCTTCCCCATGATTGTGGTGCCTTCAAAACAAGACTGAGGGACCTTTTAAAGGCCTTTGCAGGTGTTTTGAGTAAATCAGCTGATTATAGAGTGGCAGCAGGTGTCTTCTATATTCAGCCTTTTCAGAATATTCTAATTTTTTGAGATACCAAATTTGGAGTTTTCATTAGTTGTCACTTATGAATATCAAATTTAAATGTAATGAACATTGGAAATACATTGGTCTGTGTGCATTGCATGAATATAATGTACAAGTTTCACGTTTTGAATGGAATTACTGAAATATTTTCAACCTTTTGATGATATTCTAATTTACTGGCCAGCACCTGTACAGTGTTGCTGCAAGGAGAGGTGAAGGAAATTGTACCACAAAAAGGTTTCAGGAGTTCACCAGCATGGTAATGTTTTGATTTTTACAAGTCCGCCCAAAACATCAACAGCCGTTTGCTAAATTAGCAGAGAATTGATGAAAACTAAATATGGTAATGCAACTAACTTGTTTTATCATAAAGTAATGATATAATGAGATAAGATATAATGATGTTAGATGGTCAAAACAGAGATATTAATCTGTGAGATTCAAATCAGAGTTTTGAAGACGGAAGTATTTAATACTCAATAACTGCTGAAGAAGCAGAAAGCAGTTTTACAGTCTTGAGTTTTGGAGTTTAAGTAATTTGAGTGACAACACTAAAAATGACGTGAAATGAGTTGCAGGTGATTTTCTGCTGCTGGATTTTTGCTCTGACTGCTTCCTGGAGAAGATGAGCCATGTTTTGTTCCAGCAGTGGAGAGAATTAAGCAACATGCAAACAAAACATCTAAATCTGAACTTGAGTGGGAGGAAAGCTGACTTTCACTAAGAGCAGCACTAAAAACTCTTGAAGTTTTGCTGCTGTATGATTTTAGGGATCTGATTTAAATGTATTGTCTGTTATTCTCACTGACATTTTGACATGAATGTTTGACCCAGCGCCTCCTCGTAAAACCTGGTTTAATTAGCAGAACCACAGTGAAAACGGTCAGAATTTAAATGGAAACAACTGGTAACCTTGTTGCCAGAGAAAGTCAATTGGCTGTAGTGAATGAAACCCATTCATCCCTCCCGCTGCTGTCACCCTGAACACGTGGAGGAGTCATCTCGGGGGACAGTCGGTGATGAAAATGTAATCGTTCTTCTCTCTTTCTCATGCATTATGTATCAGAAATGGTGCAGCGTGGTAAGAATGGAGGACTGGGTCGTCAATCATCATTTATTCAGAGAAACTCTGTGCGAGATGTACACCAACAACTATAGTTGGAACAGATATTATGTTGATTGATTTGCCTAAACAGAAAGTACAAGCCTTGCCTCAAAGAACCAGAGCAGAGGTGGAATAATTCAATATGAAACGTCTCGGGTTATTTTTATTCATTAATCTGGTTACAATCAGACAAAAATTTTAGGGATGGTTGAACTCTTTCTCTGAGGTGACAGCCTGTATAAGCTAAAGCCCCGGCCTGGTTTCTGCGCATAAAAGCTGATCAAAGCTTAATGCACATTACATGGTTGCATAAAGTTAAAAGCTTGAAAATCCAGATTTCTTTTCTCAGAAAGTCCAGCCTGAGTGTCGGATTAGATGGCTGACTGGCCGTGTTCAGAAGGCTACTCTCATTCCAGATCAGAAACGGGTCCGTGTGTGTAGCTCTCCAAACGGTTTGTCCTTGTGTCTGTGTGGCTGGCATTCCTTTAGTGTCAAAGAGATTTTAGTAACAATTATATGTGCAGCTGTTAAGGTTGATTCATCTGAGTTATCTTAGCATGCAGGTCTCATCAGGTTAATACTGCCTCCTCCACTGTTTTAATATGCAAATACAAGAAATCATTCTTAACGTGCTCTGGCCTCCCCCTCTCGTTGGAATATTAAATATTCATGATTACTCTGCATCAAATTCAAATGATACTCTCAGATCTTTAAATGCACTATGCTGTATTGGTTTAAATCTGTGATGGTTAGGTCTGTGACACTGGATTAGTGGGTATAAAAGGTTATTTAGGCACACTATCGTGTGTGTGTGTGTGTGTGTGTGTGTGTGTGTGTGTGTGTGTGTGTGTGTGTGTGTGTGTGTGTGTGTGTGTGTGTGTGTGTGTGTGTGTGTGTGTGTGTGTGTGTGTGTGTGTGTGTGTGTGTGTGTGTGTGTGTGTGTGTGTGTGTGTGTGTGTGAGAGAGAGAGAGTGTGTACAATAGAAGCTGAACATATGGTGGTGATTTTAGAGAGGCTGGATTAGGAGTTACAGCCCCCAAAGCCCCATTTACATCTATTATTCATGTAATAGAGGGTCTCATAGCCACTCAGTGTCTGTTTGTTTAGAGGTAGGTTTGTTTTGGTTGTTTTATGCCCAGTTTTAGTCTGAATTCATTCTGTTCAAGGACCAGACTCGGAAAGACATTGTTATCGTAATTGTATAACACTTCAAAGGTATGCATGTTCCCTTTGAAGTGGCACTCTATCAGGTGAAGATAGAAATTAGAGCTATTATGACAAGTCGGAGTATTTTTTGACAACTAGATTTAATTTGATTAACTGTGGTTCAAAAATGTAGGATTGTCTTCTAAATATGCAAGATATTTACCATGTCTTCACTTGTCTGTCCCCAAACTTGAAAGAAATTGTTCAGGAACTGATAAAAAATGCCTTTAAAATCTTTTAAAAGCATGAATTTATCAAACCTCATTTGTACATATCACAAACCGATATTTTAAACACAACATAAAGCATGTAGTTCTTTTATCTGTAGTTTCAAGTGTTTACAGTGTTCTTACTCCCCAAACTTCCATGTGTCCAGGTTTGGAGGGGTGCACTTGCCAGAAGGCGTTACCGGCGAATGCGCGCCGCCCTCATTATCCTGCAGGCCTACAGACGTTACAAGGTCAAGTCCTACATCCGTGAGGTCAACCGTCGCTTCAAAAATGTGCAATCCATGAAGGATTATGGCAGACACGTGAAGTGGCCGACGCCTCCCAAAGTCCTGCGAAAGTTTGAGGAGTCGCTGAAGAGCATCCACAGCAGGTACCCACCTGGGATTACGCTTCTTTCTGCTGGAGAACCTGCGTAGGAGTGATGTTCATGTGTCTGGTCTCAGCGTTAGCTCATAGTTATGTAAAGCAACTTCAGTGTAAATAAAACGTGTTTTCATTGTCAGACTGGTAAGGTTCTCTCAGAACAGGATTGATATTTTAAATACGACATGTTGTTAGTTTGAGTTTTCTGAAATTTGCTAAACTAACACTGAATTTGACATCAAACCCATCTTTAAAAGATGAAAGATAGCCTCAAGTGCGATTCAAAACCAGATCCGTCCTTTTGAAAGAACTTACATATGTTTCCTCTGGCCTCTGGCTCTAACTGGGCATCGATTTTATTCTTCCTTCATCAAAGACTCGTCACTGCCTTTCATCCCTTTGTTTGCTTTTCTTTCTTGCTCCTTGAAGGCAGCACAGTTGGAAAAAGCAGCCTTGAATTATGTTGGCTGTCAGGATTTGTGAGTGGAAAGATGAAAACACAGGACAGGACAGCTGGGGTCCGATAACAAACACAAAATCAGGACTTGTGTTGGTCCATTAAAGGAGAATGTTTCATTTTTTTATTTTGTGAGAAGAGTTTTCTCTTCATGGATATTTTTGGATGCTTCCTTCAGGTGGTGGGCATGGACTCTGATCAAAGGCCTCTCTCCGGAGGAGACTCTACAGGTTCGAGCCAAAGTAGCCTGCTTGGAGGCCCTGAAGAGCCAAAGGGCTGACTTGGGTCTACAGAGAGACTGGGAAGGAAACTACCTGGTGAGGGGGAGGAGGAAAATAGATGGGATAAAAATACTTAATGCAAAGAAGGGGGAAAAAATCCCTCTGTTATACTTGTACATGTGTCTCTGTGAATATGCAGCTTACCAGTATTTTTTATTACTCGCTTCAAAGCTAATTTCTGATTTCACTGAAGAGTTTTCAGGTTTTTTTTTTTCCAAATGAGTTGAGATATCTGTAAATAAAAAGGTTCATCATGTAGGGAGATAAAAGACTGATTAGTCAGACTTTTATGACTTAAATATTTTTCAGTCAAATGCACAGGTTGTAGTGTTGTCATTTAAAATGTCAAAAAAAATCAAAAGTCAAAAAATGTCTACACATCGCTACACGATCATTGATTTAAAAATATAAAATAAAAGTTCAAAACAGTTGAAACAGTTTTTTTTTTCATTCTACTCTTGTTTATCTAGCACATAGCTGATGTTTTTATAGTCCATGCTATATGAAGCCACTGAGATCAACAACAGTAATAAGAGCGAGTTACGCTTTAGTATGATGGGATTCAGATGGTTCACTTCAGAAAGTTGTTGCCACTTTCAACAGGACATAAAATCATTCTGTTAGTGAATCCTTTAAATAAAAAAAATTCTGATGTTGTCGAGTCTGATGTGATGTCCTTTAACTTTCCTCTTGTTGTTTTTGGGTCCAACAGAAGCGCGACAGCCCTGACACGGCATCATCCTTCACCCTCATTTCCAGCATGCTGCAGCGCAAAGACAAATTCATGAGAGTTTTATTCTCCTGCAACGTGCGAAAGGTGAAAGGCTCAGAGGGTTCAGGGCATGAATCTCTAAACTGCAGCTGGAGAGCATCGTCTTCCTGCAGGATGTGTAGATGTTAGCCTGTTTGTGTGCTTGAGCTGCATCTCATGGGATGACTAATGAGGAGCTTTGTGCTTCCCAGATCAACCGTTTCCACAAGACGGAGAACCGAGCCGTGCTCATCACTGATCGGCACCTGTACAAGATGGACCCCCTGAGGCAGTACAAACCCATGAAGAGCATCCCCCTCTACAATGTAGGACTCCCCCTTCTTTTTACTGCCTCCTTTAGAGCAAACAGGAGGTAATAAAAACCTTGTTACACACAAAGTGTTAGCACTGTAGGGTAAAAGTTACCTACTGTACGCTTGGTTAAAAGTGTCAGAAAATCTAAATGGAAATCCGTAAAGATGGAGATGACAAATAGCTCTGAATTAGCTATTAAAAGTTTGTTTTAATTGGATTGAATGTGCTTTAGTGAAGTTACAATGATGGGACATTCAAGAAATAAAAAATATATTACAATTATTTTAATTTTAGCAAAGTTAAGAGCTTTTCAGACTTTCAAAAATCTCAGACTGAAATATAATCATGGTGACATTACTGGTGATTTAAAAGCTAATTTTTCTTTTAATCTGGATATCATGACATAAAAATACAATTTATGTGGCCTTAGAGTTTTTAGAGTAGCGTATTAAGTTTATTTATCAAAAGTAACCAACCGGTTAGTAGTTTCAGCTGAAGGTCTGCAGGACCTTATTGATGTTCATCATGTATTTGATTTAATGTAAAATTTTAAGATCCTACCATGTTTACATGCAGCCTAAGAGAAGAATATCACACCGTTTGCTCTCTCTATCAGTTCTGCCTTTCCCAGGATCCACTGATTATCTTTTCAAATTAATTTTCTTTTTCCCTTTCCTCACATTTTTATCACAATTGTTACTTTTCCCAATTTTATTACATTTTTCAATAATAAAATATATATATATATATTTTTAATGGTTTGTCCTTGTGAAGCGCTTTGTGATTTTTATCTTGAGAGGTGCTATATAAAAGATCATTTCTTCTCCTTCTTCTAAATGTACACTCAAGTTTAATTTACAGTTAGTTGTAACAGTAATATCTTGAGTAGGATGTTACTTTTTATTTTTGCTGTGGCACAAATAGTGCATGCACCCTTTTTTCTGGTCCACTGACCTTGGGGGTCAGGAAGAAAGGAAATGTGTGAGACATTAATCTCCAAGGCAGAGGCGGGATTCTGTTGTTTGGTGAAAATGAGTGAGATATGAGGCTGGTGAGGAGTGACAGCTGTGACGAGACACCGCAGAGTTCAGACTGACAAAATGACAAGTAGGAATCACAGAGCTGCAAAGTGGAAACCTGAAGTCTTTACTTGAGCGTCTGGAAGTGAAAAACAGGGCTGGAGTCAAGACAGATGGTGGCAGAAAGGGGAGAGCAGGAGAAGTTTTTAGTTGTTCACGTGGAGCCAAACTGTCACTCACAAACGTTAAACTAATCAGATTCAGTCTACAAACATGACTCAAGGGGAGAGTGACAGTGTGTAAAAGGCTAAGAACACACAAAAACACCTTTTTTTCAGGCAGTTTTCCATTATTTGCCAGTAGAGTTCATAAAAATTTGAGAAACAATCATGGATATTATTTATGTCATGCTTCATCAACCAAAAGGTTTTACAGATAAACCAGTGAGTCACAGATGAAACGGTTGTTTGACACATCCTTCAACACAATAAAAACAGTTGTTTATTTTTGTTAACAACCCTTAATTGGAACCCAAATAAATCTGTTCACCAAACAGTTTCAAGTTTGTCAGACTGGAGGAGTTTGATGCAGCAAAACCAGTGTGGTCACACTAGTTGTTGTGTTGTATTTAGAAGGCATTCTTCTTTCCTCCAAGTATAACAACAGTAAAAGGCAGTAGCTTGTCTTTGGTGTGGACAGAATGCTAATGTGTGCGTTTTGTCTTGTTTTTATAGTTTTTTGTCCATAGTGTAAACACTACAGGCATCACAGACATGGTTTGTACCAGAGAGCCCTTTTCCTGTCGTTGGTGACGTTTACAAAACGTCTGGTGCTGCAATTAAAATCATCTATTAGTCATCAGAAGGTCTTTCAAAGTGCATACATTTTTACCCTTCTTGTTTACCGTACATCCTCCCCTTCATCATGGACAGTTGAACTTTTTCCTCCAGCTCCAGTTTGTCCAACTAGTCATTCATGCTTTGCTTGGGGTAGAGTTATTTAGATAGTTTCTTTTTTTTCTGGCATATGGGCAAACAGTGCATACTGTTTTCTAGAGATCATGGTGATTGGCTGTGACTGATGTCTTCCTGGTGGTTTGGTAACAATCAACTGTTTTACACCTAAACAACACATTATATCACATTTGTTTTCAGTTCCAGCATGTACATTAATGAGATGAGGGTTTGATTACCTACAAACTGTCTCTTATTCAGTCTCTCTCTTCTCCATCTATTACTTAGTTCTTTTTTACACAGCTTAGTAAAAAAAAATAGTTTTTAACCTTACATGTTTCGGCTAGTATCTCTAGCCATCATCAGAGATGCCTGGTGCTGGCGTTTCTACAGGCTCCAGTAGCAGCAACAGCCAGCTTGTTTTATCTGCTCTGAAAGATGTTGATCAGATTTTGCAGATCACATTTTTAAACTGAGATTGGGTGCGTGCAGCCATCATGCGTCACTCAATAGACAGTGACTCGTTTTAGTGTTTTACTGTGTTATTGTTTTAATGTGTTCTTAGTATTCCTCATGTTTTATCTGCTTTTGATCGGTATTTTTATCTTCTGTTTTAGTTGCTTAGATTGGTTGTGTTTGGTTTAGCCTGTGCAGCACTTTGGGCAGCTCCCATACTGCGTTTTAAATGTGCTATATAAATAAACTATGGTATGGTATGGTAATACAGCGCCCGTATAGAAACTCTTCTAGGAACTTTTATTTGCTGCACTTAAATCATGCAAATAAAAATTCATTATTTAACAGGAAAAAAAACAAAACAGTACGCAAGTGGATGGAACCGAAACGGTTCAACACCCCCCATCCGTGAACACCACTAATCATTATATGATTCTTCCTTGTGCAGTGGTCTTTCACAGCTGATTTCTTTATTGTACTTTCTACTTCTTGTTTTGCTGCTCTTGTGTTTCTTCGACTTCTTTCCCTCTCCTATTCTTTGATGTTCTATTTTTCATGTGTTGACTCCAGTTCCTCCTATGTATGATTTATTGCAGAGTTTACAAGGTATTTTGTAAATGACTCCACATTTTGCTTCTGCTGATATGTTGTCTTTTGGGAGTACTAATCTTTTTCTGTTTGTCATGTATGGTTCTGTTGGTGTGTTGATATTATATTTTTCATCATTATTATTCTTTGCGTAGTTACTCTGATATATGGAAGGGTTATTACTGGTTTTGGTTCTTGTTTGTTTGGATTTTTACAGGATTCTTCTCTGTTTAGTCTTTTTCAAAGTCTCACCAACAAATAAATGTTTCGTGTAAGACTTCAGAGAATTAACCATTGCTAATCAGGATCGTCTGTCATGAATCAACATGGAGTCCTGGCTCAGTGCTCTTCACTCTGACTCTGATGTTCTGCTTCTTGAACATCACAGACATCATTATAACTGCAGGCTTACCCAGTTTAACCTTTTTGGTTATGTAACTGCTGTCCAGAGCAGAATTGAGGGTCAGTGACTAAATAAATGTATTATGATGAGGGCAGCTGAGCAGCTATTAAAGCTGTAAATCAGAGGGTAAGACCACCAGTCATGTTTAGGTGGGACATAATAATCAAGCCTGTGCAGCAAGTGTACTCATTCATTTATCTACGGTTTATGCCTCATAACATCCCCGTCTCTCTGCAGATGCTTCTTTTAACAAGTACTTTGGGTTTTTTAGTTTTCATCCTTTATATTTATTTTAGTGAGTTTAATATAAAATCTTATACAAAAACACCACAGCCACAGAACAGTTAGGATCAAACAATCAAGGAAATTAAAGAATAGTCTGATGTATCCACATGCCAGAATGATAGCAGACATCAGCTGATCTGCCCAGCACATGGTTTCCATGACAACACCATCTCCTGGGAAGTTGGCCTGACAACAACAGGAAGAGGCAAGCGACAGTAGAATGAGGAGAAAGGGGAAAGTCAGTGTTTTAGATGAGGATCTGGGGGAAGAGGAGGTGAGAAAATGATAAAAGAAGATGGAAAATTAAAAGGTGGGAAAAGATGGTAGAACAAGCTGCTTCATCCACAGAGGATCTTTCTTCTACCCGCTTTATTTGATTTAAATGAGGGATAACAATGTAGTGATCTCACCTTTCCAGCTCCAACATGAATTGGTTTATAAATCGTTTGGCAGGTAGTTGTTGGCTCCTCACTCTTTAACTAGCCATCTATTAGCCCAGCCCTCCTCTTTAGCCCCGCAGGAGCTGCAGTAAATACACAGTGTGGGGCAGCCGAGGAGATGCTGTGCTGTTGGCCTATCAGGGCTAATCAACACTGAGCTAACTGCTTTCCCCTCAATTTGACCCTTTCTGATCAATAGCTCCACGTCATGCTGCTGTGGCCTACGGATTACATCTCTATTCTTATTCACCTACGTCAGCACATTTTCACCTTGACCAATTTCCTCACCATTACAGCTCGACATTTATCACGTAAAAGGGTTGTTGTTATGTCTACACCAGGTCAGCAATGTCACAGCACTTTCCACTTTTGCACACAGTTTTACGATTGAATGATTTCTGTTTAGGTGCTCGATCTTGGTAAATTTCATAATACTGTCAGCAAACTGCTTATGAAGAACAAAATGACTTTTAGGTTTAATCTTTACGTTTATGCTGAGATCTGGTGTCAATAAAGGCTGAAGGGACACAGCAAACAGCTAGATAATTTAAATGAAAATGATAAAAGTCAGATGTGTTTGGGGGCGGGACTGTCAAAGGGAAATACAGGAAGTAGGTTCCGTGTTCTGAGCCCGATCAAGTCCATGAATAATTTACACTTGCCTAGATGTCAATTAGGCAGAATTCCTCATTGTTTTGCCACATGAGCCTTTGGCTCTGGGTTATGTTTTAGGTAGCTAGCTACCAAAGTTTGTCCTTCACCACTTCCCAAAATGCAAAGCATCCCCGAATACAGGTCAGTGTTTGGCTCAGGCTTCCCGTGTACGTAGTTGTAGGATCAAGGTCGGATGATGCTCATAAATGAACCACATAGAAGTTCATTTGAAAACCCACCAGGGAGGAAAACGAATCAGAGTTTGATTTAAACACCCAAAGAGAGTTGTGAGCCCCGGCCCCAACAAGGGAAAGGGCAAGAACGCTTCCAACCAACCAGATTATAGCCTCTCCCCTGACTCTGAAAACCCACAACGTAATCACGCAGAACCAAAACCGAACAACAGACCTGCCAGGAATGTTTTAAAAACAATGAACACATGATGTGACTGCACAAAGGATTGCCCAATGGCTGGTTCCACTATGAATGTTAAGCCTCACCCCCTTATGGGGACATTTTTCTGATGAAAAACTCTGGTGTGTTTTTCAGGTGTTTCTTTGTGCTGTGTTTAGTTATTTTCAGTCTAAAAACCATCATGCAGGACTCAGGTGCACAGACTCAAAATGGCAGCATGGACTTTCTAGTTCCCCTCTTCAACAACAGCAGGTTGTTTTTTCATTAGAAACATTATATAGATGGTTCTATCACATTAACAAAGAAAAGAAGAAAGTCTTCACAGCTGATGTGAAGTAGGCCTCGAGTTTCCTGTAACAAGACTTTGGTTGGGTCACTCATTTCAGTCTGAGAGGTAGATTAACGCTCTCACTGGGTTTCAAGTGTTTATGGTTGCTAGAGCTAATGAAGTAGGCCTCTGCAGAGAAGCAGGCACCAGTGGTGAAATGTTCTCTGGGCTTTCTGACAGATGGCTGAGCAGATAAACGTCTCCTACAGATTTCATACATGGGGCAAAATGGATTTTGTAAATCGAAATAAAAAATGAGATAAGGAAATGAATCTAAACGTATCATCACTCAACTCATTAGAACACAAATCGCCGTTCCGTTTAATTAGGCCTTTAATAAAAATGTAAATGTGACTGTCGCCTTGTAATGAACTGTGGGTGGATTGTTAGACAGAGAGGTCTGGCTCTAGGCTCTAAATCTTGATGATTACGTCAAGAGTTTGTGTAGTTGTTTCCTGTTTAGCTGCCAGTGATGGCCTGTCTCTGTCAGTCTCTCTCTCGGCGTTGCATTTAGATGATGGATGTTAAAGTACCTGCCTTGTTGCCCCGTGGCTGTTTCCTCAATAATCCCCGCCCGCGGCATGGCTTGGAAAGGAATAAATTCACGAGGCAGAAGAAAGCTGTGCTACAAAAAGAGATTAAAGCACAAAAAGAGCAAAGAATGGGGAGTTAATGAGCCACAAAGCTGAGCTCTCTTTCCTCCTGAGAAGTGTTTCCCTGTGAAGAGATTTGCTTCTTCCTGAAGCATCCGCTTTGAAGACCTTTAATGCAGAAACATCCAACAATAATTCAGGAGTTTCTCTTTTGACTTAGCTGTTCTCCACTGGAATGTAGTTGGGTGGTTCTAATTAGAAAAATAAGATTTGTCCTTTGGGACTCGGGTCAATAAATCTATACTCCACATGCTGATCTTGTTTTTGAGTAGAAACCTTCACGTTCCTTAATAGACACCACATAATGACTTTGTAAAGGTAGAGTAAAATGCACTCAGTTAATAATGTTTTCAAACATGCTAAGGAAACAAAGCTTTGATTTTTGAACATTACCTGTTGTATTTCTGCAGAACGCTTTGATCTCCCAGTGGGGGATATTTCACCATCCAAACACATTAAAATCCTGTGTTCTAATCAGTTTGCTTCTTTTAATAGTCTTAAAAGGAGGGAGGGAGGGGGGAATCTATGGTTGTCTTTCAAACCGCCTCTGCATGCTATAGGGCAGCACTAGGACCAATCCAAGAATCTAACATTGTTGTAGAAGGTACAAATACATCCTTTTCTAAGTAAAGTACTTAAGTACCTCTATTTGTTCTTGACTCAAAGAAAAGGCAGTCTAAATAGTCCAAAGTTGATGCCGAAGTCGTTTCAAACGAGTGCCGTTCCTGAGCCGACGCCATCATTGTTTTTTTCCTGTTGCAGCTCTAGCATTAAACCTGCCCAGCAAACAGCGCTGTAATTTACATGACACAATACTGATCAGGCCAATGGTAGACCTACTGAGGCTACAATGGAGCGTGGCTAGACCGACCTGCAGAGCAAAATATTTTGCTGCTACTACTGCTGGTCTAGATTTAGGCTAATAAAAGAGAGTACTTCTACTATGGGCGACGGTGGCACAGGAGTTAAGTGCTCGCCTCGTAATAGGAAGGTTGCAGGTTCGAGCCCCGCTCAGTCTGTTGCTGTCGTTGTGACCTTGGGCAAGACACTTAACCCACATTGCCACGTTGTCGGAGGGACCGGTGGCGCCTGTGCTCGGCAGCCTTGCCTCTGTCAGTGCGCCCCAGGGCAGCTGTGGCTACATCGTAGCTCATCACCATCAGTGTGTGAATGTGTGTGTGAATGGGTGAATGATTGGTTGTGTTGTAAAGCGCCTTGGGGGGTTCCAGGACTCTAGAAGGCGCTAAATCAAGTACAGGCCACTTACCATTTACTAGAACGTTGAAATTCTAATTGTAGCTCTTCTATTCTCACTAAATCCACTTGTATGCTACACGTTCCAGTGTCTCTGGATCATGTGCCTACATGCATGTAGATTTAAACATATTTTTATCCATATATGAGCCTTTTACGCATGTATTTGGATGCTTTTATTCTCATGTTTACCTGTTTTATTTGTGTGTTTGTTGGTCCCAGGTGACAGGGATGAGCATTTCCTCGGGGAAGGATCAGCTAGTTGTGTTCCACACTAAGGACAGCAGGGATCTCGTGGTGTGCCTGCAGGGCATGGTACCTGCCAACGAGAGCCGCATCGGGGAGCTGGTTGGAACTCTACTCAGCCATTTTAAGAGGTTAGCTATCTGAGAAAGTGGTAACAAGTAGTGGGCAACAAGTACTGATAGAAGCAGTTATTTTTTATTAATCTGCCTTAAAAGGAACTCCAGCAATGAGGACTTCTATGCCCTAATAAGCCACACATTTTCTGTTATACCAAACTGTTGTTAGAAACACACAAACACACAAAATATTGATGTTTATTTATAAATCTATAATATTTAGTACATTTTTGACATACGTAGGACAACAAGAAGGTTTTTTGCACCATTTTAATATAACTGATACTAACATTTATCTTTTAAGAACCACAAGGTTTTGTAACCTGGGTTCCTTTAAAAAAAATTAGTAAAATCATAGTTAAAAGTAAAACCAGGTCCTGATTAATATCTTCTAGTTATTATTCAGAGAAGACACTTTCAATCAGCATTTTGTTTCCTTTTAAACCTGCTGAGGTTCATCTGAGCTAATTTGCAGCATCACTGCAGGAGTGGCCTAAATTAAACAACTGGAACCCCTCCCTGTTTGTTCCCTAAAGGGCATTTCTGACACATCAGACTGAGTAGCACTGAAGGATGTGTTTGGTGTTGACCTGAGTGGAGAGGATTATAGGGCAGCTAGAGGACACGGTTGCGGCTGTCCTCAGTTAAACTGTAATGTTGACTTAATCTGAGCTCACAGCTCTCGGTTTAGGGCAGGATGCTGAATAAAACATTAGTTTCTTGGTTTCCAAGGAGCAAAATACTCAGAAGATTATTTTAGGTTCAGTTCAGGACTGTCATGTTCTGTGTCCTTGTGGTCCCCAGCCCCCTCCAGGTTCCCCTCATGTGTCCCCAAGCCTCCTGTGTCCCTTCTTGTCCCCAGCTCCCTTCTGGTTTCCCTCATGTTCCCCTTAGTGTTTCTGTATCCTTTTGGTTCCCTAGCCCCATCAGGTTTTCCCCCAGGTGTCCCTTGATGTTTTTCCCTAGTCACTCCTCTGTAGTTTTCTATAGGTTCAGGTTTTCATTTTATTAGTCTCCTTTAGTGTGTGTGTGTTTTCCTTCCCCACTTGTTTATTAGTCTCCCTCACTCCTCAGGTCATTAGTTATTTATCTTTGGTTCTCCTGTGCCCTTAGTCTTTTAGGTTTATTTATGTAGTGTCTCATAGGTTATGGTTTATTCCCTCCTCTGCTTGGTTTTCCCTTCCCATTTAGTTAATCTCACCAGTCTCTCCTCAGTTCTCTCTCCCCACGCACCTGCTCCTCGTCTCCCAATCACCTAGCCCCTGTGTATATAACCCTGTCTGCGTCCCAGTGTTTTGTCGGTCCATTGTTTGTGTCAGCGTTGTTTTGTCCCTCTCGAGTTTCCCCAGGTTTGTGCCCATGAGTGAGCTTCTGTTTATTTATTTATTTATTTATTTTTTCAGTCCTTCCGTGTTTTCGAGATTAAGCTTGGTTTTTGTGCCTTCTGGATTTTTTTGTGTATTCTCCTTTAAATCAAGGAATTTATTTATACTACCGCTCCTGCCTTGAGTTGTTCTGGTATCTGCATTTTGGGTCCAGTCCTCCTGCACTCTCAACATGACAAGGACAGTCAAATGGTGGTGCTGTCACTGAAGGAAGGAAGTGGTCCTAAATACCAGAACATTACACCTTAGATCTTACTATTCCTAGACTGATGCAGAACAGCAGGTCTTGGCGGTTTGTGCTGCAGTACATGATCTCACATCTTAATTAAGCATTGCCCAGGGGGTGGGGCTTGAGATTGGCTAAATGAGCTAAATGTATTTAAAATGTTTTCTGGTATCTATTTTAATGTTGCTATAAAAATTCTACAACTCAGCATCCATCCATTTTCTTCTGCTTATCCGGGGTCGGGTCGCGAGGGCAACAGTCTCAGTTGAGAGGCCCACACTTCCCTCTTCCCAGCCACTTGGGCCAGCTCCGGGGGAACCCCAAAACCTTGGCTAGGCGAGAGACATAGTCCCTCCAGCGTGTCCTGGGTCTTCCTCTTTAGGTCTTTCCCCGGTTGGATTTGCCTGGAAAACCTCACCCGGGAGGTGTCCAGGAGGCATCCTAATCAGGTGCTTGAGTCATCTCAACTGACTCCTCTCGATGTGGAGGAGCAGCGGGTCTACTCTGAGCCCCCCCAAATATTATCTGGTGATGTTCTGATCGATACTTTTCAGGAAAGCATTTAAATAATAAGAAAAATAAATGTGCTTTAAGTTTCACTTTTAAAATTAAAAGGCATGTTTATATTACAAATATATTTAGAAGTGGCAGTGTTGCTCATATATCAAGTTGTTTATTTCCTCAATATGCAGCGACGGGCATTCCTGTGATGGAGCTGGAATGTGGAGTTTCGGCCGACAGGCTAACTTTTCCCTGCATAACACCTCTAGCTACCACGGGCAGTTTGGGTGCTGCAGGAGACTTAACCCAACATTTAGCAGTCTGTTGGCAATTTGTTTTTGTTTATTAACATATCTTTCTCTGTCAACTGGCTTCACTTTTTTGTCTGAGTTAGCTGTAAACTGGTAGCCTGGCAAGCCAGACTAAATAAATTTATTATTTATTTGCAAACTTTGCAAAGCAAGAATTTGGTCTAGTTCACTAGGCTAGTAAACTGGTACTGTTAGAGGCAAACTGGGAATTATTGGAGACCAGTCATTTGCTTTGTTAATGCCAGAAGGGAAATGCAAGTAGTGAAAGTAGTTTGTTTGAAGGCAGTGAATCATGGAGCTGTCCTTTCCAGCATGTTGAATGCCCAGTATGCACACATTACAAGTGTCTGTAGCTCTGCCTTCACTGTCCGGTTTAAAATACCACCAAGCTGAAGATATTTTAGTTCTCCAAAAGAGACACATTAGCTCTGTGTTAGCTCGCTTGCTAACAGAGGCACTTGGTGTCTGAGTCCCTGTGAATTGTGTGACTTAATTGTGTTGTTTTCATACAAGAAACAAAAAATACTGATGTAGAGGGACTTATTGACTTTAAAACTAAGCCATTGTTGTTCCACTTGAAAATCTCTATCTTAGGATGAATTTTAAAAGTCGTGGTTTTTGTTTTAAAAGGTAATTATGACCATTTTAAAATCATGTGTTCAGCCTGAATTGTGATCACTTGATCGGATTGTAGCATCCCTAGTCTTATCAATGACCTTAAGTACCACGTCAGACAAAAAAGAACATCATCACCATCACTTTATTCCAACTGCCTGAAGGCAAACCAGAGTGCTGTACACACATAAAAACATCACAGACCCATACAATGGTAATCAAAAATAGACATAAAAACAAATAAAAACAGATAAGAGCAAAGAATGATAATGAAATGAAAACATAGTAACTAAATGCAACAAAACTTGATCAAAATAAGCTAAATGATCATAAAAATATGGCTAGCTCTCATGCTGAGGAAACGCCACTGTAAAAAAGTGCATCTTCAGCCGACTCTTAAATATCGGCAGAGAGGGTGCTTGATGGACCTCAAGTGGAAGACCATTCCATAGCTTGGGGGCCGAAACTGAAAAAGCCCCGCCTCCTCTAGTTGAGCATTTTGCCCTTGGAACAACTAGCAGATCATGCTGTTGAGACCTAAGTGCATGGGATGGTTTATATTGGGTGAGTAACTCAGTCAAATATCTTGGAGCCCAGCCCTGCAAAAAGGGACAAGGACATAATGTTGTATATAATAGTAAAGTCTGAATGCCTGGAAACAGGTTAATTTATTTAGAGCAGGGGTGTCAAACTCAAACTCACAAGGGGCCGAAATGAAACTCTGGGACGGAGTCGAGGGCCAAACTTTATATTTTTTGAAAAAGTGACGGTAAATTTGCACATTTTCTTTATCAACATATATGCAATTTTGAACCTTTAAATTTGGAAACAAACTTATTTCTGCATTAACGCTGAATGTGGAATAACCAAATTACACACGAACAAGTCAGTTTTAAATAAAAGGCATCAGTGGTATTCATTACTTGTGGTATAATCAGCATTTTATAAATCTATTCAGGATTTATGTTTTCTTGTTTATTCATTTTTCTTATTTTTATTCTCCTTTTTTTCTCCTGTAATAAGTGTCATCGCTGCTGTGACGTCTAGCTTTCCCCACTGAGGAACAATAAAGAGATTTTCTATTCTATTCATCTATCTGCAGCCTTTCCACTTCCTGTTTACTGTAGGTTAAATCTTTTCTCACGGGCCAACAACAAAATAAAAATATTATTTTATCTTAAATGAAAATGCAACATCTCACCTGTTAACTTTCATGTTTTGGAGCAGAAAAAGAGCATAAAACCAACATATTTAAAGCTCAGTTTGCTCCACTGGTTTACTGTGATTCTCACCTGTTCCAGCCAGATACCTGCATCATGGGGCTGATCTGAGCTGAGGAGGAGACTCCTGTTGTTTTGTTCATCTTCATCATAATAATGACAACATTAGATGACAACAGGAGCTCACATAGGTTTGTGCTGATGAACATGTCTGAGCAGCTTGACCACGTTGTTGTGTGTCGGGGAGGAAACACGACAGCAACCACAGAGTCATGCTGATTCGAGCGTGTCGCTGCTCGCTGGAGTTATATCGGCTCTGTCCGGAAGTTAGTTTGAAAACTTTCTCTTTCAGTCGTGAACACATTACTGAGCGGTTAAAATCTCCATTTCTGGGCTTCAACGTCAGAAAATAGCTGAGTAAACTCGGCGCTGAGTGAGAGGAGTGTAGTTTGTCCGAGACAGCGGAGCTGCAGACCCGGCAGAAGACGCTGGAAAAAAACACAAAGGAGGGGGTGCTTCGGCTCCGCGCTAACGCCGCAAAGCATCATGGGAGTTGAAGTATTTGCGGTAAAATCGGCCAGCGGGCCAGTTTTAATATATTTTTGATATTTATCTCGCGGGCCACATAAAAATGCTCCGCGGGCCGCATCTGGCCCGCGGGCCTTGACTCTGACATATGTGATTTAGAGGATTGCCCCGGGGGCCACAACCAGCAGCCGGCAGAGTCCTGGGAGATATCAGCGGCAAGCCCAAAGGC